GATGCGCTTAATTGTATCTCAGCTAAGCAAACACCTTTTGCCAAAACTTCTCCCTGTATGCGCAGTATCTGTGAATGGCAAACGAAGCGTTTAATTGGGGTTGTTAGTCCCCCAGCCCCTGGTCCCAGGCATGGGCCTGGGCTCGACGAAAATTGTCGCGCGGTTTCAGCCTGCAGCAGAACAACAACAGAAACATGACGGCAATAGCAACAGGGATATGGGCAATCGTCGTCTGACACAGAACATATTTTATTGCATTTTGTGTGGAAAGAGCCGCAACTAAATGGAAATCAACTGCCGCTATTAATTGTGTGTATCTGTCGGATACGGATACGTATACGGATACGATTGGTGGTACTTCTGGGCCAGGCCTTGGCATTGTCACACTTCAAATCGAATTGCTGCCAGCTGCCGGGCGACATTTTTGAGTTTTCTCTTGAGTTTTGAATAGCCCAGCGACGGGAGGGGCCTTTACGGACAGCTTTACGTCCGGATTAAAAGTGTACATTTATCTATACGTAGGCATTTTTAGTATCTGGATCAACACTCTATGTAATTTTTGTTATATATAATACAAACATATGCACATTTGTATATGGTTTACCTTCGCTGTCTTTGTAGTGTCCGTGATCTTCAACCTCGAATGTTGTCTCGAATGTATTGAATGTACATATGTCTCAAGAATAATCTTTGGTTTTTCACACTCCTTTAACTTAACTTCATAGCTCACGTTATGATTGCACCTATGTATATATGGTAATTCTTCAGTTCTTAAGGTTCTGCTATCTTTTCAACTTTTTCAATCTTTTGTTCCTTCTTTCGAATAATTTTTGACACTGCATTTGAGATTTCAGACTTGCTGCTGAAATTAATTAATAGTTAATTAAAAGCTATGGAAACTATTTTGGAAAATAACAACTATAGCGCGAACTAATGGGTAACACATTTTTAGTTACACATTTCCGGACTTCCCCATTTGTATAGCCTCTATACACGATACATGATACATGATTGTTATCCCTCCTCTCCATCGCTGCTATGTAAATAAATTGAAAAATAATTTAAAAAAGTAGCGAAAAGGATGCCCGAAATTCCACAAAAAACAAATGGGGAGTACGGGGACGACAATGAGTGTTACCATTGAAGTATTCCATACTTAGATCCTGAATAGAAATAAACACAAACAGCAACAACAATCGGTTAAAGTAGTTTGAAGTGCAAAAAGGGGAAACAAGGAAAAAAACAAAAATAAATAAATACAACAAAAAATACGGAAAAAGAACAATAAAAATAAACGAGTTTTTGTGCGAGAATCGAATTGAATTTGTATGTAATTTGAATGCCAGAGCAGACAAAGATACTCGTACAGATACAAATACCAGATACCAGATACATTTTGCACTACTGCTGTTTCTGTTGCTTTTGTTGTTGTTGGTGCTACTTAAACATCCTGCGGAAGCTAAACTATAACAACAGTCGAACGAGGCAGCAGCAGCGCTGCTTGAAAGGTTTTTACTTTGTTAAATGCAACATCATCATTAAGCCCATAACAATGGCCCATCTACACCCGCCCCTCCCCACCCCACCCGTTTTCTTTTCCTATGTGCAAGAAGAGAAGAAAAACCCAATTGAAAATGGCCGTGCGCAGGCCCTGGCCCTGGCAGATACAACAAAAGATACAGAATATCCCTTTTCATTGCCAGAATATCCTTCGCACACAGAACACTGTGCCATGAAAATTTCCCTAACATGCGCGCACTGTGCAGAGCCAGCCATCTCGCTCCCTCTGCGATCTGATTGGCCAGGGCCTATGCTGACGACGCGCCCACTTGGCAGAACCGAACCATCGGTGACGGTGACAGTGACGCCGACGGCGAGAATGGCTGCGACGCCGACGGCATTACAAGTAAAATTCCCCCCATTCCTATATGCTCTTGTATGTAGGGGGATTGATGATGGTGTGAACGTCATGAGCGACAATGGAGTGCCACTTCCCTGCCGGCTGCCGGGAGGGAGTGGGGGAGGTGTCCAACATACATATATAAAGAGGCCCTCCATATAGAGATACTTCTATGTATAGAGATACTACTGGTATATACTCTTGCAATCTTTCGAGTATACATATATGTATGAAGATGGGATCCAGGCACGCCATGTGTCTGGCAATGTAGCATTTCCCTTTTTTTCAATTGCTCCATAGCTCCAGCCCCTGGCTCCTTTTGGGTATTGTTCAAGTTAGCTTAATGTTCGTGTTGATTATGTTTCTTCCTATATTTTATTTCGGGCTGCTCTAAGCCCCATTTGAGTCTTCTGGGTGTGTCCTAAGTGGAGAGAGCGGAGCGAGGACTTACATACGCGAGTATGTATTGGCATGTGAAGGATCTGAGCTAATCATGGGTTAGCTTATGAAATCGAAATTCAAATCGTTTTGGGGCCCTCTGCCAACACGAAAAGAACTTTGATATGAGTTTTTTCAAGCGGAAACAGTTGTAGAACTTTTCCATACATATATGTACAAACTTTCCATGTTCAGTGTCTGCAAACATTCGATACTATCCGATAAACTTGAATCAAAAAGAGAATCGGGCAATACAATGTTGATAACGACGTGATTTTTAGATGCATCTCGTTGTTTTTTTTCAACTTATTTTATTCGACTGTGGAGATTTTCCAGTAGAAATATGCCAAAAACTTCAGCGAAATATTCGACTATCTGAAAGTGATAACTTTATCAGTACCATAACGCCAAGCACTATGAAATAGTTTAAACATTTCAGCGCTAATTATTTTGTATTAATCCAAAATGGAAAACACCATAGAATATTTATTAGATATTTAATCGTTATGGGAAAACTTGCAAAAACTCAAAAAAAAATCATTCAGATAGTAGACATATTTGTATTTATCTGACAGACAGGCATGCCTTCATCGACTCGGCTTTGGATGCTAATCAGGAATACTTTATGGGATCGGAAATATTTCCTTCTAATTGATACCCACATCCAATATATTTTAAACTCTTTGAATACAATGTAAGAGCATAAAAAAGGTTTTCTGTCGAACTAAATCAAGACAAGCTGAGAAACCAGACAAAGCATTCAAAAAGATATGGCTGTATCGATTCGTCTGGTTTATGTTTTTAAGGTTCGTTCAATGCACTGCAACTTCTACCCTCTGCAAGGATAACCACTGAAACAGTAAAGGAATTCGCTTACTTATACAATGCTTATCTACTTCTATTCAGAACATTTTCAGACAATCGCCCAAGAGATTAAGGTAGAACATATACGTGTTTGATTCTAATAGTGTTTGACTTACTATGAGATTATCACTGAGACAAAATGAAATCACATGTGTTGTAATTTCATCCAAGATCCATTTGTGACAAGCTAATTATTTAAATTAAATGCTAATTTACTAGACTAACTAGCCTTTGAAGTTAAAAAATTGCTTTTCGAAGTTTTTTGTTCGTTTCTATATTAAAAATTGTAATTTCGGCACATTAGGTTCTTTGAATCGTATTGAAATTCTTTGAAAAATACGAGTAGATATGCCGTTTCTTATAGTTTTCCATAACTGTATATAGACTCGTATAAAACGGCCTATTTGGCATTTTTTATTTCAATTAGTTGCACACATTTATATATATGAAATAGTTTTAGTTATCATATGTTTTGGTGTTCTTCGAAGAGCCCCATTTAGCCTGACTATATGTACAGAGCTCTGCATCTAAATTAATTCCCATAAACATGCGAAAAATCTTTCGGATGGAGCATATTTTATCTTTCAAATACATAACTCAGAAAATTGTAGTGGGAAAATCGATGCTTGGATCTCCAGTATCGAATCATTCTGATGGTGTTCGCATAGAACTTTAAGTTGATTTTCCCCTTGGCCGTATATATTATTACTCATATTGTTATAATTTTGTGGCATATCTTTTTACGAGTTTTCTTCCCCATCTTTTCTATTATGTACATATATGCATATATCTATGATATCATGTCAGGTCTTGACCATAAAATCATGTCCTGTCGCTCACCTCTACACACACATACACATCCTCGGATCTGGGGATGTCGTAGGTGCGTCGTCGTTGTCCCCTGGCCGGGCACTAGAGCGACGATAATGATAAATACAATATAATGACGCGGCAATTGTTGACAACATCAAGTGTAGGGCAGAGCCAGGCCGGGCCTGGGCCCGGGCCAGGAAGAGATGGAAGAGAGAGGAGAGAATTTTTCGGCTCAAAATGTGAATGAATGAAAGAGTTTTCCGAGCTACAAAAGGAACTTGTCTGACTGGCTGGGAACCAAGCCTGGGCCGCGGTACCAGCCCTACCTAGAGAGTGTTTCCCTCTCCGCTGCTGCCACTACTCGAGCGCTACAATGGCTCACAAGCACACAGAGACACACACACAAGAGAGGCTGCTCAAGTGGCACTCGTCGGCTGGGGTAGAGCAGGGCAGCAATAGCAGCCAGTGGCCCTTGCTGAAGGGGTGCAAGCGAGACACACGGACAGTCACAAGGATCTGTCTCGCTCTCGCTCTCTCTCTCTGGCGTGGACTCGAGCCGGGCTGGTGGTGGGTTCCAGCAGTTGTTGCCGGTGGTTGAACGAGCCACTCACAATGTGGCTGTTGTTGTTGGTGTGGCTTCTTCAGCGCTGTATCCTTGTTGAAAAGGACATGAGAAGCCACTTAGCGGGGCCCAACAACAGAGAGTGTCTCTCTTCAGGCATGGGCACTGGTGTTGGTGCGCACTGCTAGTACGAGTATATACCATCCAATGGTGGAGGGATGCAGCTCTGCAGGCCGTATACCAAAAGACACCCTACACACAGATGCACACACACACAACACACACAAATGCGCGTGGACGTGGACGCAATGAAAGAGAGAGATTTTTTGGTACTTTTCTGCCGTTGGCTGGTTGGACTCGTGTCGAGTTCTTGATGTCTCGTTAGTTGTTGATGACACTTCAGTTTGGAATGTTTAGAGTGCGGCTAACAGTGCAGAGCCCGAACGTGAATGCCCAGTGAATGCCCAGTCGTATCCGTGTCCGTATCCTTCTACTCCTGATCCTGATCTTGATCCGCGATAACAGATATTTGAGAGCCGGACGGACCAACATTGATTATGATTGCCATCGGCTTTTGCTAGAAGGTCCTTAACTCTCAAGTGCGATTGTGAGTGTGTTCCGAAACTCTCTGTGCGCGTGTGTGTGAGCTTTTTTTTCCGTGTCCCCTCATTGCCCCGTACCCGGGAGAGCAACAGCCACAAAGTGGCGGAGAAACGCAAGAGCCAGTCTCCGTCGCCCGCCGCCCACCAGCGGCGCAAATCGAACGGATCACCTACCCCCACATCCCAGCAGCATCCGCCAGAGGGCCGACCGCCCGCCGCCCTAGAGATGACCAGCTCGGGAGCCCTGGAGCGGACGCCCTCGAAGCGAAACCGCGACCGGGAGAGGGATCGCGAGCGGGAGCTGAGCAGCGGCAACAGCAGCGGCTTGGGGAGCGCCGGAAGCTTGCCTGCCTCGCCCCAAAGCGCCATCACCGTTAGTCCTGCCTCGCCGACGACCCCCACAACGCCCAAGCGACCGTTGCGCACCTCCACCCCCTCGCTAGATCGCGAGGGAGAGCGGGCCAGGGAGCGTGAACGAGAGCGTGAACGAGATCGAGAAGATCGTGAGAGGGAGAGGGAGCGAGAACGCGAACAGGACCGGGAGCGCTCCTCCAAGGTCTTCAGCACCGCCAGCACCACTGTGCCCACGACGACGACGCCCTGCGGCACCGGACTGGCCGCCAGCGAGCATCTGCGCATCCCCACAGGAGCAGCCGCCTTCAGTGGCTTCCCCGGCCTCCACGGCATGAGCAGCCTGATGGTGCCCTCGTCGGCGGCAGTGGCTGCTGCAGCTGCTGCCCCCTTTTTACCCTGGTCGCCCATCCTGCTGCCGCCCTGGAGTCACGCCCTGCTCCCAGCTGCCTTCTATCCGGCGGCCCTGCGCAACGCATTGCCCGGGTAAGCACGATCGGGGGGAAAAGGAATCAAAGAAGCACTTACTTATGCACATTATTAAATTTAATTATGCGACATAGTAGATACGTATGTATGTACATATGAATGGTATGCAAAGGGTATAGTGGGAAACATTTAAAGTCTTAAACTTGGGTTAAGATATATATTTCCCAGATCAATCAAAGCTACGATCCCGTAATCTCATCTAGAATTTCCACTCTCTTCTATATCTTATGTGTATTCTAATTTCGATGGCGTTTCGGGCTATATTATCTTCTCATTTCATCTGTGCCTATTTACGTATCCATCTATCAATCCTAGAAATCAGACTTTTGTAAACTCTTGGGGTAATATTGAAATTGTAATGGGTAATCTCTTGATCCATTTCTGAGGTATTTCGAAGATGCATTTGTTTGCTTATGTAATTTACAAACGCCAGTTTTTCTCTTTCAATGCTCCGAATCTCCCACAAAAGAAGTTCTGCCGGTATCCAGATATTTGAGCTTTAGATTCCACAGACTTCCACTTTTCTAACCGCTGAAGTAAACAACCAGATGGGGTTCCATTACTATCTAAAGAGATCCCCGGCTTGATCGGTCCTTACTCTACGCATAAGCCGCGGTTTGCCTTCGCCTAAGCTTCGGCTCATAGTCACACCCATGAGCGAGCCCCTGCCCTAGTCCTGGCCATGCCCAGCACTATGTACATGGCTAGCTAATGGACTTTGCTCACTAATCCAATGAGGCCACTTGCAGAGCCAAATTAGCCAAATCCTGCCGAGAAGCATCACGGCATAGCACATCACAAGAAAACGGCGAATATGGGACGTATTTCCCCCGTTTCTGGTCGAGCAAGTACTCAAGGTCCTTGCTTTTGGATCGAAGAAATTCAGCTTGATTTACCCTGTGCTGGCCTGGCTTAGAAATTCCCATCCATCGATGGACAGTAGGTGAGAGTGGTCAGGGAAACTCCAATGACGGGCCAACATGTGTGCGGCAGACAGCAGAGGACTCGGTGCAGATTCGAGACACCGGGCTGACACTGCCGCTGACGACAGGGAAGATGCAGACGACGACGTCACACTGTCTGACGAAGGGAATTCCCTCTGAGCAAAACATGTGTCTCCGTCTTTGTCCCACTATCGTACCAACGCTGGCGTGGGAATTTTGGAAAATTCAATGTGGAAAAACCGGAAGCAGCGCGCGAAGAAACTTGCGCCAACATGTGGCACGACCTGAGCCGACCTGAACCGACCTGACCCGATCCGATCTGATCTTCGGATGGACAGGTAGATGGCAACCAACAGGTCCCAGCGGTGGTCAGTGGTTGGTCTAAAGCAGATTTGTGTTTAATTGTTGATGGTATTAGTGGAAAATCAAATTTTCATTAGCCTCTGGGCCCAGTACAGGATTTGGCAAGTGGAAGCCCAAAAGGAAAAGGAAAGGAAAGGCCACTGAGACTAGGTGTCAATAATCCAGCGATTTGGGTGCACTTAATCAAAGTTAATTCTCGCCCGAGAATTTTTCAGGGATAGATAGATCAGATCAGATCAGATAGATCCCAATGTCTCAGATAGTTCGCTCGCTCCCTCTGCAAAAATCGCAATCTGCGAAAGTCAGGGCATCGGCAGGTAGCACAGGTAGACCGGTAGAACAGGCTGTATTCGAGCCACAGTGTTAAAGCCTTTGTTGGACCTTCCGGCCATTCATGATATACCGATACCCATACCCATACCGGATGTAGAAGCAATGGGCATGAAGCTGCAGTTTAAAGATGACAGGATGACAATAGAAAGCAACGCAAATAGCCATTCATTCAAGCCTCAATCGAAGCATCAATCTGAGCATTCATTTGAGTGTCCCGTTTATCACATACCCTCCCAATGCTCCACACGGACTATCCATCGAATCAGTTTTTCTTTGCATATCTATTCCATATTTTTTTCCAATATATTGCTCGAAGATATTCCGGGTCTTTGGAACCATTTATCCCATCATATTTTCTTCCAGTATACGACATCCCTTATTTCTCGCATAGTTATTGCATCTATGGAGAGATTCCATAAATATTTCCAATAGTTGTGTATGTTTGACAATTTTGTCTAATCCTTCATTCATCTCTGTCCTTTCAGTTTGTTTGATGCCAAGGTGCCATCGTCGCAGCGCTCCGGCTTCCACATATCGGACATCCTCAACTTGGACGGATCCGATCTGAAGAATGCCGCCGCCGCAGCTGCCGCCGCTGCTGCTGCCCAGCACAGCAGCGAACTGAGCCACGCAGCGGAAGCTAGCAATGGCCATGGACCAGCAACGCTCTCGCCGACGCCCACCAGTGCGGCGGCGCTGGAGGAGCACGGTGCTGGTGCCGGACATGGCGACCACCACACTACAGAGCACAACCCACAGCAGCCGCACCTCCCGCCGCAGCATCCGCATCACCTCCAGCCGCATCCGCAGCACCACCAGCAACAGCATCCGCATCCGCATCCACCACACCACCATCAGACGGTAGTCCCTCCCGTGCCCCTGTCGCACCACCAGGGCAGTACTGCTGCCGGCGGTGCAGGCGGGGGACCCGCCCATGCCCACGCCGCCGCCCACCTGCTGGCCAGTCACAATGCGGCGGCCGCCGCCGCAGTTGCTGCCGGGCAGTATCTTCCCAAGAATTTCGCTGGCACCTTCGGGGACGAGATGTCCTCCTACCACCACATGGCCCAAACCATGCTCCAACATTCGGGACGCAGTGCGTGGATCAAAGAAAACGAATTATACGGTGAGTCCAAATCAAATGCTGAATTGGGGAGGAAAGCATTATAGATAACGCAAGCTTGAAATGTATCTTTTAAAAAAAGGGAAAAAGTAACGATACTCGTGTTTAATTCGAATTTCTAAGTAGGAGGAGATCTCCCATCTTCAAGGGTACTTCGGAGGTTACTCCAATGAAACATTTTATAGATCTTAAACATGCTTTTATTGAAAATTAAAAAGATAAAAAAGTAAACTGCAAGAACATGCCGCCGATGAATCTTGGTTCTTAATCAGAAGGCTATTCGGTAATAACCTACCAATATTTTCATACTATTCAATTAGGATATACCAATGGACGGCCATGACGGGTGTAATATAAATTTGTCGGAGTGTGAAATTTCTTCGAATTCCTTATAGTATAACGCCAGAACGAATCCCGTAATCAGCTTACCAATAACGGTTGAGGAGTGCCATTTCTTTGGTTTGAAATCTTTGGAGATTCCGAAGATGCCAGAAATATAAATAATTCGGGTGAAAATCGAACCCCCTAAATGGCCTTTCGTGGATGTAAATGTAACCCACGAGAGAGCCGAACCACCGATTAACTGCACGACTAATAATATTGTTACGAATTTTCCTCGCCAGGGAAGTGGTGCTCACCCATCCACTTACCCACTCATCCATCCATCCATGCATCCATCCATCCATCCATCCATCCACCCAGCCACTCATTCAGACAGTCGGTCGGTCGGTCGGTCGATAAGGCAGCTGTGTTTGCATATATGGGCTAGTGCTGTTAACCCTCTACTCGTATATGGACTCAGGTGCTTCCTGGGAGCGCTGAGCAGCGTGGTGACGAGCCATTTCTGATCCTTGCACACTTTCCAGTCGTTTGCTTTTTTAATTTTTTTATTTTTCACTCATTCATTGGATCGAAATTGGGAATGAAAATGTGGCCAGGATCTGGGCCTGGGCCTGGGTCTGCCTCTGGGGTTGGGGTTCTATTATAATCTTGACTAATAGTTTGTATGCGCTTCACACTTGAGGATTAACTCTGTTGTTGCCCTCTGGCAAGGATGGTAGTCAATCGTTCCCTGGCCCGTCCTTTGTCTGTTGTTGTTTCGGGCCAAACATTTCTCACTCGTCCTGGCAATTTATGGCACGCACTTCCGCCTGGTTTTCGTCCCTTTTCGATTGCCCCTCTCCAACTCCCATGCCCATTCCCATTCTCAATCGGTCTTCCTCTTTTTTATTATACCTTTTTTTTGTTTGGCTACAAATTATAATTGCTGCCCGCTTGCCGTTTTTTTTTTTCGTTCTTTTTTCTGGTTGTTTGCTCTTTTTTGGGAAACTTCACAGCTGTATGAAGGAGCGTCGAGGAGGAGTCGTTTTGATTATATTAAGTTATTAATTTGTTGAGTTGTCATGGAAGCATCGGGCCTCGGGCTTGGGTAATGGGGTAATGGATGAGCATTAGCCGCTGGGCTTTGTTTAGTCAATGATACGAATACGAATAGATGGAGCATGGGTCTGAGATTGTGGAATGGGAGAATGGGATGTTTCCTCCCCGGTTTTCTGTTCTCCTTACTCGGATGAGATCTCCTTTCTCTTGCGACTTCTGATTCCTTGACATTGACATTTGTTCATTGACATATTTGCTGGAGCCCTTGCGGTTGCATAGATCACACCCCACGAGAGGGGCAGCCACGCCCGGAGATAAATCACCGTTCACAAAAGCCTATCAAAAGTGGGCGGTCGTTTTGCAGTCACCCCATACCAGTCCATAGAGAAAGAGGAACGGAAACCGGAAGAGCCTCGAACTGCCATCGATGTTTGAGGTTTGGCTTTTGTATGCCATTGTCCCCGTACACATTCCGAGGCATTCAAGGCACGGCACTCGTAAATGCCTTTTCATTAGCATCCCATCCCATTCCATTCGCTTCTATCCCATCCCATCCCATTCAGGACGGGGACAGAACCATAGCCCGAAGGTCAGCAGTCAGCAGGAGATCGCACCGAGAACACGTTAGAGAGGAGACCAGGTAGAGAGGTAGAGATTCCCTGTCAATTCTCAGTGTCTCTGGTGCCTAATTGACATTATTAGCCCGGACCCATGCCCATGCCGAGGCAGGAGCAGGGGTAGGTTTTTGCCAGCCAAACATCTGGCCCACCCCAAAGATCGACCACAGCCTCATGTCGGGTCTAATCCAATTGCTAGAGTTGACTCTCTCCCCTCCCGCCTTTCGAAAATTTCCCCGATCATGCCGATCCGATCCGATCCGTTCCGATAAGGGTGGAATACCTGGTTAGGGGTGTTATGGGCTAGGTTAAGGGGTGTGCCAGGGCATTAATTTATTGGCATTGCTGACAAATTCGTTGTCCATTGGCAGGGATCCTTTGTCTGCCATCTCGCTAAACACAATTCTCGTCTCTCTCCCATTCTCTCCCATGCAGGCACCCAGCAGCCGGCCAGTCCTGATAGCACCTCGCCGGTTACATCGGAGGTGTCCTACACCTACATCGGTTCCAATTGCCAAACCTCGCCCGCCCTCTCCGGCGACTACAAGAGCTACAGTCGGTCGGCAGACAGTGATGCCCTGTCGGTGGGCGATGCCCTGCACACCATCCATGGCGGCGCTCCTTCTGGAGGACCCTCTGCGGCACATGCCCTTCACAACAACAATAACAATAGCACCAGCAACAACAACAACCACAGCCTGAAGCACGACCCCATCAATGGGGGTGGAGGTGGAGGAGCGAGCAGCGGGCATGATGACAGCCTCAACGAGGATGGCATCGAGGAGGACATCGACGATGTGGACGATGCGGATGGCAGCGGTGGAGGCGGCAGTGGCGGCCTCAATAGCGACGGTCTGCCCAACAAGAAGCGGAAGCGCCGAGTACTCTTCACCAAGGCACAGACGTACGAACTGGAGCGACGATTCCGACAGCAGCGCTACCTTAGCGCCCCGGAGCGCGAGCACCTGGCCAGCCTCATCCGTCTGACGCCGACGCAGGTGAAGATCTGGTTCCAGAATCATCGCTACAAGACGAAGCGTGCCCAGAACGAAAAGGGATATGAGCACCCGGGCCTGCTCCATGGCCACGCCACCCACCCGCACCATCCGTCGGCCTTGCCCTCGCCAAGGCGCGTCGCCGTGCCCGTGCTAGTGCGCAATGGAAAGCCGTGCCTAGGTGATGGCTCCAAAATGGCGCCCGACTGCGTCTCGGTAAGCTCAGCCACGGCCACGGCCATGCAGAATGCGGCTGCCGCCCACCACCTGGTGGCGTTGAATGGGGCCGCCTATCAGCATGCGGCTGCCGCTGCCGCCGCAGGACTCCATGCTCATGCCCATGCCCACGCACAGGCCCATGCCCACGTCCATCCACATGCGCACGCGCAGCGCGCCGCCTGGTGGCCCTAATACTGCTAGATAGGGATACGGCGTGGTATCGGGGGGCATGGACACTCGAATAGTCGACAAGAAAGCGGCAGCGGTAGCGCTGGAGTTTGAGCTGGAGCTGGAGCTGGGAATTCGAACAAAACTTTGGTGCAATAATGGAACATGACATTTTCACAGCCGGCTCGCCAGGCCCCCAAAATATGCGATAAAGCAACAGGGAACCGAATGGGAATGGGAAAGAGAATGAAAAGGAGAAACAGCCAAAAACTAAATATGTGGACAAGGTAGAGCATAGTCAAAGTAGAAGCCTCTGTCTATCCTGTACATAAGTCAGACAAAGGAAGAAAATATAAAAAACAAAACAAAAAAAACTAAGAAATAGCTAGACGAGTTCTTAAAGCGGATATCATAAGTGTAAAATATAATAAGTCCCCAAAGCCCCGTATAGCTTAAAAGCTCTAGGGCCCCCACTTAGTCATAGATTTTCTAAACCTCTACCTATAACCATTCCCAACCAATATTTACATAATTAAATAACCATATAAATACATTTTTTTTTTGCACTAAAGTTGATAATACTTATAAAACTAGAAGTAGAAAACCTTTTTTTTTTGTTTGCCTAAGTCTTTAGAATAATAATAAATCCAATCCCCAATGGAAACCCTGTAAATATACTAAATGAATAACCTATAAACTGAGTAGGAGGTCTAATAAATATATGTATATCCCAGATCGCAATGCAAATAAATCATATGTCTGTACTATATAATACCTAAAGCATAATTAGTGTTCAATTTTTTTGTAGCAAGAATTTAAAGATATGTATGCATATGTACATTTATATATTATATATAGGCACTTAGTCGTAACCGATATTTTTTTCATATGCGTGTGAGTGTATAGCGAGTAATGGAAAAACTCTTTGAATTTATAGCGAGTAATGAGTTCATAAATGTTAGCAAGAACCCAGACAAAGACAGATTGGAAAAAACGAACACATCTATACGAACACGGACGGACACGGAGACCGGGACAAGTAAAATGTATTCGACACAGGAGCAAAGCGAAGCAACCAAAAAAGCTGCAACATACATTTTACAGATATAATAAAACCATTTACAACAATTTAAACGATAAACTGTTATATTTTATTGGATACTTATTTCGAATTTCAAGCCTGCATCGCTGAATGTGAAGTAACAAGTCCTTCAAGGGCTCAATCACCAAAATTTCCCATTATTCCCACTAGATCCAATTAAGCACTTCAAAGTGGGACATAGCTTCATTCAGAACACTTTGAAAACAGAACATATGTACATTTAAAATAAATTCAGAAAGTGTTTAATTACATGGTAAAAGTAAAAGAAATTCAAATCCCTGCCTGATGGCTGACAATCCTATCTTTATGGAAATTATTAGGCAACCTTTACAGCGTTCTGTGGGCGAAAATTCAAATTGAAGTTCCGATTATTATATGTATATGTAGAACTCTGAATTTGAACTTTCTGATATGGTACGAGTATACTGCATTCCGAAGTAAATACATATATATATTATGTTACAGCGGGAGGGAGCTAAGTAATGGAATGGTGAAATTTGAACTCAAATGATCCACTTTGTGGGATCGTAAATGCCTATACGTACACAAGCCGGTACTCCCATATCGTTGGGGCGAATAAACATGTTGGACACACCATAAATATGGTCTTGATTATGGTAGTTAGCTACCGTTCTGCGATTGGAACCGTAATCCATTAAGTTCAATTCTGTTGATTACGGCACCACAACAATATTCGTGGATAGCGACGGGCCGCAATAGAGCCTTTAAGCCCGATAAGCAGACGAGACCCGGGCAGAGCTGGACAATCGGACTTTAAGCTATAATACTATCTGAAATACTCTGTCTGGTAGCTCCAATTTCGACCAAATTATCAATCGATCATGGACGTTTCATCATGGTAGTCAAAATGCCGACGGAAAATCAACTGGAAGATATAGTATTTTGTCCCACTTCCCAAATCTCCCTCTATTTGTATCTCCCCCTGTGACATATTTGGCAAATAAAGAACTCGAAGTCAAGTAGATGGGCTGGAGTATCTCATAAAATAAAATGAGTGCTATTCTAATAAACGACAAATTAAATTACTCATCAGTGGAATACTCGTACTTGACTTGACCATTCACGGCGCTGGAGTGGACCCACATGCTCACCCACTTATCCATGTTTTCCTACCAGTCCATTCGATTCGATCGCACCCATTATGCGAGTAGTCGGAGAACATAAACAACAACAACAGATACAGCGGGCATAAAAATGACATTTTAGCGGTATAAATAAATATCGAGTGCCTCTACCATGTACACAGTACTTTGCAGGAAGAACAGCAACGGCATATAGAGCAGCCTAAAGAGCGAGCACAAAAGTGCGAAATCGAAACACAGTTTTTTACACGGGCCGTAAACTCAACAACTGCAACTGAAGTACCATAAATGTTGCCCCCTTATGTGTACCTTGTATACTGGCACACCGTATACGTATATATGGCGTATACCGTAGAATTATACCTCTACGATCGTTTGGATCGATTGTAATGGCTCTTTAATACATCTTGAGGGGAGTACTGGCCGGGCAAATCTGGTTATTGGCTAAGGAATTTGTACCTTGTTAGTTAAAGCAAAACGCATTTCTGGGGATCGTCCTAGTAGATACATGTTACATTTATATTACAGAACACTTAATGCTTCTGCATCGGATCTGTCAACAGATATTTCACCCCACCGCCACCGACCCATTACCCACTAGGTAATAAAACATGTAGGTTTCTACAAAGAAACGCAAAACACTCTAACAATATCGGATGTATTTATATTATTTTTAAACTTATTGAATCATATGAAAGCAGATGTGTAGGTATGTTGAATAGGGAAGAGTGGATACAACCCCTAGGCCATCTCGAAGGCGTCCCAGTACCATCTGCACTCTCGTCCATATTTTTCTGTTAAATAAATATTTACAAATATAAATCGGATCAATGGTATTTACATTTTACCTCTATTAATGGGTTGTATAAATGTGTACGTGCTGGACTGGAACGTTTTCCGATCTTGCATTAGCCATTCTAATACTTGTACATTGTAATTGATTCTTGGTTTGTGGACCCCGCACCTGCTGTCGTGCTGACTAAAACGCTAATCAGTAATTAAGTATTTAATAAATTAATTTATTTTCTTAGATCTTACCAATATCCTCCGTGAACGACTTTCAATCTGTAACAGTGATTTTCTTGGTGTGTCAGTATATGATTCTTCTTCAACAAAATGCCTCGGTTGTACTGATCAATGGTTTTAATCAATATATGGCCTTCTATGTTCAGCTGCAGTGGCGTAGTTCTGGGAAAGGGTTTATTAATAGCGTTATGCTGGGCGAGGCTGATCAACACTTAGAAACCAAGCAACTGAAATACAGAAGAGTCATTTTATTTGTATCTCCAAAGCGGTATGCACAACTTGACCAAGGGTGACGTAGATAGCCCTGATCCGTTGAGCCGCATAAACTTCAAAATGCCTATTGGATTTACTTGAAACTATATTCCGTCGTCTCTCCACTTTGTAGATCGAATTATTTCTTGCATGAACCGTTTAGGGTCTTAGGCTCGGATTATAATTCCCTCTACCATACTATATCCACCACTAATTCCCTTCCTCTTATTAAATTACTAATACTCACATACCTTTCTCGTAATTGGTAATTGTAGTGGTATTTGTATTTTGAGCGCATTTTTAGTTCTCCTAGTAATGTTTAGTTCTAATATTCAGCGCCCGTCGGTTGATTGGGCGGGAGGAGGGCTGCGTTTTGCCTGGAATCCGAGCAAAACAGTCTTCTGCTAGTGTCGTACGGGCCACTTGATGGTGCAGTAATGGCATCGCTTCTTGAAAGATGCAGTCATTGCATGTCAACCTCCATCACTTTACCTGATATTCATATTCTGCCGTCATTACTTGAAAAAAGGAAGGAGCAAGGAGTCCAGGTGAATTTCGTAGAAACTACACACACAACAGAAACTCATCACGGAAATTCTTTGCAAATACTGACATTACTCCAGAAAAAGCTGGAGTTGATTAATTGAATTTTTGAGGAATAAGCCTCGAAAGCGGCAGAGCTTTTACTAAAAAATTATCCTGGAAATGAGCTGAATGACACTCTTCATACAGCTCGGGAAAATAGTGTATTTATAATTGAACATCTTCCATTGGAGAGATGTCAGAGGAAGCCGTAGAAAGCACAGATAATATTGGATAGATCCATATGACATGTTTTTTTTTTTTTTCCATTAAGATTAATAAAATTAATAAATTACAATTTCAATATAATCGACTACCGCCTATAATCAAAACTGTCTGCATTGCATGTTGCTAGGCGGCTTGCGCTTACTATCTTGTTTCCCTCCAATTTTGTTGCGCCTGCACTGCCTGAGCGCCAGCAAAAATAGATTATTTCTATGCTTCGCTCCTGTCCACAGAAAGACCATCTATTACCTTTCTAGTCGGTAATAGGTATTTCATATTTCTGATCTGACTAATAGGTGGCGAAAAAGAGCAGCATCGTCGACAAACAGGGATGTTTTTTAATCTTTTCTATACAAATATCATCTCTGTTTTCCAAAGCTAAGAGTTCTATTTACTAAGCTTTAGAAATAAAAGATACTAGAGTGAAGGACAGAAATGGCAAATGTTTAGAGGGAGACCCAATAATAAGTGTGTGTTGATGTTTGTGGTTGTTTGGTTGAGGCCAGCTTTTACTTTTGAAGTACAATTCTGCCATAAGTGTTTTTAGCGTGTTTTACCAAGCTATCAGCAAGTATAAGTCAAATGAGGACTACGGGTATTAGTAATGATAGTATTGCACTACACATCACGACTAATCTTGTCTGGTCCAGTATCTGACCTCACTGCTTTAACCATAACAGCAGAAAACAGAAAATTGTACTTTGAAGGAATATTTTGTCTAGACTTAGTATTACTGAAAATGGCACTACTGAAGAACTACACTGTGGAGACGGCTAGCCATTATTGTTTTGTATCATACTATCTCTTTCTTGCAGTTTAGATAGGACTTGAAGAAGTTGGTGTCGTAAGACCATTATTAATTCCACTGTGCTACCTATTTTCTTCACTAATCAGTTTATCTGTCATCCTCCTCTTTTTCTGTCTACAAACTAATTCTGGTAGGTGTTGTAATCAAGGCTGATGGCCTTGCTCAGATGCAGATGGATCCCGAAGCGAACATCTCGGATCACAAGCTATTTCGGCGAAATAATCTGAGCTGAGATTATATGAACTAATCGGAGATGATCCAAGTGGTATCATTTTCTGCATTAGTCTCGAAACCCAACGCTCATTCGAAGAAACAGCTAGAAGTAATATTCAAAATTATTGGAGGTAATCATACACATTATTCTGTTATTCACAGAACAGTCCTTTTATACTCCAATGCCAGACCCGGGTCGACTCGGGATAGCCTGGTAAACAATCTCTGCCGCAATCTGCACTCCCTCGAGTGACTTCCCTAAATCAGAACGCGTAATTAACTTTGGCCTACAATCTGCTATATAAATACATATACGTACATATGTACATATATACTATACATTCATGAACACTTGTGTACATACACATGTGCGTGTGTGTGCAGCCCCTGTCCAGATATTGGAAGCCACCAAAGGCCACTTATCGATTATTTTATTAATTGTAATCTCATTTATTTGCCCTACTCTGCGCTTTCTGTTCTGGGCTCTCTGCGTTTAATTTCTACGTTTATTTTGTGATAAATTTATTATTTGATCGGACCATACGTACACACACTTATGTATATGTCTACTCGTATACTTTAATCAATTTTTCATTACATACGACTGACTACGATGTTGTCTGTCTGTCTGTCTGTCTTTATCAATGCCAAATTTGAACGGACCCACTGTCAGTAGCGGACCCATTCGGAAAGCATCGCTGATCAAGTGCTGTAAGTACTACACGATCGATTGGAGCTCCTCTGTCCCAAAGCTTCACATGTTGGAGAACTCGAGCACAAGTGCCGATGCAGTAGGGCCTAGAGTTGGATGCG